ACAAAAGCTCTGATATGAGTTTTGTTCGGGGTATTTTCCAAGGGAGCTGTGTTTTTCTTTCTGAACGTAAAGTCTTTGATTTGAGTTGGTATACGAGAAAGGAATATGTCACAAGAAATACGTGATGATGGAAATAAAAAATTACAAGCACAATGGAAGTGCTGCTAACTTCACTTCCGACAGCCAGGGAATTTACTGGTGGTGGGACCTCTTGTGAGTCCGCGCGGGTAGGTCCTGTACCACCGCCCTGTCTATGTCTGCCGTGAAGCAGTAATGCGTTTCAGTTTGAAGGGTGGGGCAGCCGTTGTAACTATACTTAGATCTTAGAACTCATATCTCAAGGTGGGTGGCGCATTTACGTTGCAGATGTCTATGGGCTTTAGTAACCACTTAACACCAGGTGGGCTGTGAGCTCGTCTATCCATCTAAGCAATAAAAAAAAGCAGTTGTCTGTCCGGTTATGAGTCGGGGCCTCGCATCTAGCGGCGACAATGATTGTACTAGAAAATCAAATGTCAATAATTGTACAGTTTACCCTCTTCCAAACTACAATAAGTAATAAAACATTAGATAATTGCGAACACTTCTTTCCAGTTTTCGTATCGTAACAGACAGTTGTAGTGGTCGGCAGTGACTACGAAAACTGTAAACTATTTGAAAGGTTGCTAATAATATTATATTTTATTTTTACTTTTATTTATTTTATTAGGCTCGCAATAAACATCACAAGCCAAAGATACAAACAAACACAAATAAAAAGAAACAAAATCTGGCTTGCAACATAAGTTATGTTGTTTTTATATTGTCATTATATTAATATATTATATTATTATAATGACAATAGAAACGTGAGATCAAACTATAAAAGTAATTTCGAATATAATAGATAATAGAAATGAGGTAACTAAAGAAGAGTAAAAGAATATAAATCAGCTGTTTTTAATACGCTTTTATTAGCTTCAGACGTATGTATGTTTGTAACGGAATCTTTGAACATGATTTTGACCCCCTTCAAAACGTCGGATTAACTCGAAATTCGGTATACTTATTAAGGACCGATGACAATTGAATATTAAAAAAAAATTGAAAATATTGAAATTCAACTAAAAAATGAAAAATCAATAATAGTTTAAAAAAACTAACAAAATACGCTTTTATAGAAAATCCATTTAAAGAATAGAAAATAAATTTTAATAAATTTGAAATAAAAATAGTTTAAAAATTTTTATTGTAAAAAAGCGTGGGGTGCTTTTCAGGATATTATCAAAATAACCCTTCTACTCATATCTGTTTATAATATATTTATAACTACTGATACCATACACTCCAAGCTTTAGTGGGATATTCTATAAAAGTGTATGCTGTTAGTTTTTTTTAATTATTATTTGTTTAAATTATTTTCTGTCTGCCATCTATTCGCACACAGCACATCAGCAACTACTGAATGGATTTTCGAGTAATTTTCAACGATAGACAAATAATTCATTTGGAATATATTACGGTTCTTTTGGCCCATTGTTTCATTGGAATTCTTTTTCTGCCTATTCGTACACTCTTGACAGAGTGGTCGTGGTCATGCATCAGTCGGATCCTGCGATACCGATGCTCTCGCGATGCGACGCCATGTGGCACGATGTTTCGCAGAGTGAGAGCAATCATTTATGTTGGAGTGAGTCACAGATTTTATGAGGTCGGTCAATCGTGTTGGAGATCGTCCGCGAGATCTTTTGCCTTCGACTTTCCCTTGCACCACGAACCGCTCAATGGAGTCCTCATTACGAGCAATGCGCCCGAAGAACTTGAGCATTCGTATTTGGACTGTTGATAGTCTCTCCTTGATGTTGAGCTCTTTCAGGATCGAAATGTTCATTAGAATAGAACACTGTAAAAAAGTTATCGTTTAAAGATTTTTGTACTGTACCACATACCACAATAACACCACCTAGACGCGATACCGATGCTGACTTGAATCCTGAGATAGAGTTTAGGATACCTTTCGTGCCACTACTGAGGACGGGTTGCCGCCTATCTGATTTTAAGTGTACGCGGATGACGCTGTGGTCGCAAGATATTATTAATACACAATTAGGTGCACAATCCCAGGATTGGGAGAGAGTTTTTTTTTATAAATAAAATGAAATTGAAATTTAAGTTATCCATGTCAAAACCATACCTTTTTTTACCAAATTCATGTGAATGAAAAATTTATACAACACAACAATAACAAATACCGGAATATTCAGAAAACAAAATTTTGTCTTATTATTTCTTTATTAAATAAACAGCTATTTGTTTTGGCTAAGCTCTGAAACAGTTAGACCGATTCGACAGAGTTCCACTGGCAGGTAGCTATTAAATACTAGCTTATTTACTCAAATTACATTAACTGTAAAAAATTAATTAGGGTACTTCGTAAAAAAAATTTAACTTATAAAATTGTGACATAATCTTTTATTTTTATTTTTTTTATTTATTGCTGGATGAGTGGACGAGCTCACAGCCCACCTGGTGTTAAGTGGTTATTGGAGCCCATAGACATTTACGACGTAAATGCGCCACCGACATTGAGCTATAAGTTCTAAGGTCTCAAGTATAGTTACAACGGCTGCCCCACCCTTCAAACCGAAACGCATTACTGCTTCACGGCAGAAATAGGCAGGGTGGTGGTACCCACCCGCGCGGACTCACAAGAGGTCCTACCACCAGTAAATCTTATTTATATTCTGAAGAGAAAACTGATAAGCAGATGAGAAGCAATATTAATACCAGACAAAGCCGCAGTAAATCGTGGTCTGGTTTAGTACCCAGTTACAACGCTCGATAAATTATTATTCGCGAAACTTACTTATTATAACCAAAATCCAATTAGCTGAAGCTTAATTATTAATGCCATTTACTAGAACCACATAATATCATAACATAATTCAGATATCACACCCTTCGAGGGTGGGGGTGACCTGGTTTCCAGTATTGAACCTACCCCACCTCCTTCAAGTGACCTTTAAAGCGCGCATGCCCGTGCGTTGTTCCCAGAGCTCCAGACTGGAAACCCCCAGTCAGCTCTGGATCCCCTCAGAGCTAGTCCAGCATTAGTGGTTGAATTTTACACATAAATCCAATATTCCTTTGTCATTTATGAAAGATTATAATTTGATTTTTCCTCTGCTGTATATTTGTAACTAAACATCCGATTCTTTGGGGCACATTTTTATTTTTTCTCTTCAATTATTTCTATATAAGTAACTTTTCAAATTTAATTTTAATTCTTCGTATAATTTATCTGTGCAGTCAAGGTATGTACATTTTTATTTAAAATATAATAAGTAGTGTTATTTTTAAATTTCTTGGTTCGAATTGTTCATCATTGTTCTTTGTCCGCCATTTTGAGTAGCTCAACACGACAAAATGGCCGATTCATTTTATAGCTAGTTTCGATCGATTAGTCGTGTGCTCAACTGAGCATGCGCATTACAATTTAATCCTATAGTACAGTTCAATTTTGAACATTAATTTTGTCATGAGCCCAAATCAGTTAAATCCTTAAACGTTATTGAAGTCTTTGAAGATACCGACAGAAGACACACGTCAGTGACATTAACTATTTTGTTTTCTCTTTTGCAGAATTTAAATAAACTATAGAAACTGATAAAATGTCAAAACTAACACTGGACGGTTTCTTTTCATACTGCAAGCAAATAGCAGAGCATATACAGTTGGTTCGTTGTTTTTTTTAATTAGTAGGCACGTAACCGTTCCGCCATTTTGTTGGTGTTGTTTAGTTGCATAAGATGTCCGCCCGCAGCCTGTTTTCATTTATTGTCTTCTTTTATTATATTTTAATATTCGTATCTTTTAATTCAGTGTTATTATGAACGCATGTTTTAAATGTAGCAGCACTCTTGATTTTATTTAGAATTGGCACAATATAGTTTTAATATCTAATGAGTGGATAAACAGCTTAACTATATTTTGTGAAACATAAAGTTAGAATTTCTTATAATATATAAATCGTAGTACATTTTATATCACTACACTTCGTGTTGCAATATAGTGCAATATATGGATACATATACACCCGTAATTAAACAGTAACTAAATTCTAGCATCAGATGAGATCAAAGTTTCATTTGCATCGGTTCAGTGACCATCCGATTTTTGAAACTTGGACCTGGTGGGTTCATGTCCAAGTACTTTATGTATTGCCTTCGAAGGTCAAGAATACGGCCTACCTGATGGTGATAATCATAGACAAGAGCAATATCAGGGGTACAGCCAAACCTCTGCCTACCATCGAGGACTCATTTCAGTACTTGTTTGAAGAAAGACATCTAATAGTGCTCACATGAAATATCGTAGTGGATAGTCCATTCCTGAGCCAGAGGTTACGTGCCAAGAATGATCTCTGAAAATTAGCTATGCAGAAAAGCAATACCAAACGAGATCAGTAGCTCCATCATCACATACCTGTCTTTTTAATGTCGTACTGTTTTGTTGTATTCGTCATGATCATTCTGACTTAGTTAGCTTTTTTTTTTTGCTTAGATGGGTAGTCGAACTCACAGCCCGCCTGGTGTTAAGTGGTTACTGTAGCCCATAGACATCTACAACATACATCTGCGGTAGGCAGCGGCTTGGCTCTGCATCTGGTATTGCTGAAGTTCACGGGCGACGGTAACCACTCATCATCAGGTGGGCCGTGTGCTCGTCTGCCTACAAGGGCAATAAAGAAAAAAAAAACATAAATGTGCCACCCACCTTGACATATAAGTTCTAAGGTCGAACGTCTTATCCTTTAGGCCACGACCACTTCAAATTTTGGCTCTGCCAATATCTGCCTCAAATCAGTGGCACGTTCCATTAGGACAGCCGTTCAGAGCTACATTGAGGCTCTGACCTCATGTAGCAAAAAACCGTGGTATCTTTCACCCATCTAGTTCAGAATACCTTGTATATCTAGTGAACGCATTTTCACGGGAGTTCTATTTTTGTGTTTGGTACAGAGCGAGAGGATGGCTTCGATATCCGGCCAGGGAACTCCTAAGCTGACATCCGCTGTCGGGAACCTGTACTATGACTGTGAGTATATATCATAAAGATATTATGAACTAGCAGCCCACTCCGGCTCCGCTCGGATCTTTAACAAAAAATTTAACGATATTTGACGTTGTTTTATTTTTTTAAATAAAAGAACACTTATTGCGGCGTAACTATAATAGTTAGACATATGCTGTCGGGACACTTTTTGTAAATAATAATGTGTTTTACAAAATCGTAGTACATTATTTTATTCTATCATCAATAGTTTTCGCAGGACCCGCGATGCATTGTGCACCAAGGGAGAAAAGTAGGACATTTCCTATTATATTATTAATGAATTCAATAAAAGTTACAAGTACGTTGTCTCCACTCGAGGATCTTTCAGCTCCATCGGCCGTCCGATGCGGTCCGATGCGGTCTTACCAGCATATTTTGATTTAAAGCAGGAGAAATGCCTCACATTTGCTGATCATACCGCGAGAGCGCTCGTCATTTGAAAGCACTCAACCCTGTCTACCTCACTGAAGCCGAGCGCGATGTTTTCGAAAGCCCCTAATTGAACGCATTTGATTAATTGTGAACTTTACACAGACTGCGTTTTAAGATGTCGCTTTTCGACTGAACTTTTGACTAATCGACGGGAGCTTAATTACGGGCGTGCAACTCATTGGTTTTGTAGATTCTTCAAACTTTTTTTTAACAGTATTATCACTATTTTCCATCAAAGGGTCATCAGACAGTGGCTTGGCTCAGCTGGCATTGCTGATGTCCACGAGCGACGGTAACCACTCGTCATCATGAGAGCCGTATGGTCGTCTGCTTATAAGGGCAATAAAATAATAATATTTACAACATGCACATTTAATCCGTAATGATTTACCACCGCTTCTGCTTAATGACTGAGAAGAGTCTGTAAGAAAAGTACGGCTTTTCTCCTCTCTTCTCCAAAAACATATCGATTTTCTTTTGAGAAAAACAAAAAACAAAAGCCCGCTGAGTTTGTTTCGCCGGTTCTTCTCAGGACTGTGGCTTTTTTTCGAACCGGTGGTAGAGTTAACATTGTTATTTATATTTTGTCATTCAACAAGCGTGTCATACTGACATCTAAGTTGAAATAAATGATTTTGAATTTGAATTTGAAAGCTTACAGGAAATCATTAAATTAATATACGTAATAAGGATGTCTTGTTGTAGGCAGTACAGGTTTGCCTTGCTGAATTCTGAATGATTCGTCAGTGCTTCTGCTCGATATTGAAATGTATTTACAGGACCATACATAGAATGACATTTTATAGAAGTCGTCGTGGCCTAAAGGATAAGACGTCCGGTGCATTCGCGTTGAAGCGATGCACCGGTGTTCGAATCCCGCAGGCGGGTACCAATTTTTCTAATGAAATACGTACTTACCAAATGTTACCGATTGACTACCACGGTGAAGGAATAACATCGTGTAATAAAAATCAAACCCGCATAATTATAATTTGCGTAATTACTGGTGGTAGGACCTCTTGTGAGTGCGCGCGGGTAGGTACCACCACCCTGCCTATTTCTGCCGTGAAGCAGTAATGCGTTACGCTTTGAAGTGTGGGGTAGCCATTGTAGATGTATATGGGCTCCAGTAACCACTTAACACCAGGTGGGCTGTGTGAACTCGTCCACCTATCTAATCAATTTTTTTTTTATTCAGTATAAAGTATAAATCTCGATATAAAACATACAAACGGATATAAAAGCGATTTTACAACAAGCATCCGGCTTTGTATTTCTGTCAAGCAATTTACGTCAGAAATGTAGTTTATCCGCTACCCTACTGCTTTGAGCCCGGCCAAATCCTTAATTAACTTGATAGTTACGTAAGTAAGTTGAGCTTAAAAGCTTTAGAGGCCAAAAGTTACGATAGCAGTGCTACCAATTGTTCAGAAGCTAATAAAAATCACTAAATTCCATTCACTAAATCTTTTTACGCAAACTGGGCGCAATTTTTTTAAAATTTTTGAGATTTTGGCATTGAATCTCAATAATGTTCCCAAAAAACTGTGCATTCCGTTAAACTTCTTATGGTAATTTAGGGAAAACCACTTATGTTGGCATCTCTGTGCGCTAAGAACAATGGTAATAATACCATACAAGCATCATGTGTCAAGGTGGTTGAGATAGTCCCTGTGTAGAGCGTGGACTGTAATTAGTACTGGTCGCTTCAATAATTAGACATATTCAGATAATAATATAATAATAATAATTTATTTATTTGTCTCTTAAAGGTATAGTACAAACACAAATAGAAATTAACCATATAATTTATTTTGTAAGTCTGTACTAGGTTCAAAGACCTGTATTACTGATCTCCAGGCTCCCTCCTTCTTAAGATAGATTATCTTACCTTCTTAAGATCAGAGAGAAGGTTATTTTTATTTTGTTTTAATGTAGTTACCACACGTGCACGTACGACCAGAAATTTTTGATCGACTTACATTGACTGTGTTGCCACAATTATTATTATTGTTTCAAAATTCAAAAAACAGTCATACAAAACTTCATGTTTAGGATTGCCCTAAACAGTCCCATTACCGTTTGACTCTTACTATACCAGCGATAAACGTCTCTGCTTAAGTTCAATGAATTTTATTTTGAATATGATAAGTTTCAATGGTAAGAAATTTCGCGGACGAATCCCTATACGCTGGACTGATCAGGTGAAAGACCTTACCCAGGCCCGGATATAAAATGAGTGCCGTCTCTGGGCACCTGAAAAAAATCCTGCGTTTATCCACAGTGCGTTTCCAAAGATCTTTTTTGCCACGTACCATCCGGCTTTGGAATGAGCTCCCCTCCACGGTGTTTCCCGAGCGCTATGACATGTCCTTCTGCAAACAAGGTTTGCGGAGAGTACTTAATGGTAGGCAGCGGCTTGGTTCTGCCCCTGGCATTGCTGGAGTCCATGAGCGACGGTGACCACTTACCATCAGGTGGGCCGTATGCTCGTCTGCCTACAAAGGCAATAAAAAAAAACCGCCCCAATACTGGAATTTAGCTAAGCTTCTAGATTATATATTTTATTTTTCAATCTTAAAATAACTAATTTATTGCAGAAGCTATATTGTATGCTATATTCCAAAAACATAATTGAATATTTGTTTTTTTTCTAACAATTATAAATTTGGCACTAAGGGCGATTCATAATTATATTACATAAAAAAAAACAATACTAATTAAATTTCTTTAATTCCAGAAAATAGAAAAATCGATTATTATTTCAAAACTCCAAGGAAATAAATTGATTAAATCATTTCTATTGTTAATTTTTACTAAAAGTGCCAAAATTATAATTCACAAATAAATAGATGAATTGAATTTCTTGAATTACCAATTAAACAGAAATTTATTAATTATAGAATAAATTAATTATAATGAGCAATCTTGTGAAGACAAAACAAAAAAATTTTTTCACTTTCAAAATATAGCCGCCCTAAAAACTTTGCCGCCCTGGGCACTTGTCCCGATTGCCCTTAGTGTAAATCCACCATTGACCTTACCAAAACCCCACTTAACGAGTGCTTGCGCCACACCTCAGCTCGCAAACTATGGAAAACATGTGTCTAGGATTTAATAAACAAGAATTCCACATGACCACAACTGCTCTGTCAAGAGTAGCCGACTATGATGATAACTTTATCTACCCCAAGTAACATGATATTGTAGCGTGAAGTTTGTAATTTCCTGTCGACATTCTGTGGCCGCGCGCTACTGTTATCTCGTTGAAATATTGGTTAAGGTCGTATTGCTCAACGCGAGCTAATGTCAGGGACAGACTCCCGTCGCGGCCCGAATGCCTATCATTGAAACACCAGTGGAGGTATCGGCATAGATAACATCTTCCACCCCTTGATTGAAATTGATCAAAGATTTGTAGTGAATACAACCAAATATGGTATGGTTGGTCACCAACCAACTGGTGGTAGGACCTCTAATGATCCGCGCGGGCAGGTACAACCACCCTGTCTATTTCTGCCGTGAAGCAGTAATGCGTTTCGGTTTGAAGGGCGGGGTAGCCGTTGTAACTATACTGAGACCTTAGGACTGATATCTCAAGGTGAGTGGCGCGTTTACGTCGTAGATGTCTATGGGCTCCAGTAACCATTTAACACCAGGTGGGCTGGGAGCTCGTCCACCTATCTAAACAATAAAAAAAAAAAGTGCATTAATTGACGGCATCGACATTTTTAACGACGCGTGTCCTGGTCTCAAAAACAAACTAGTATCCAAGTTTCTTTGTTTATAATTGATGAGAGGATATTAAGTAGTTAACTCTTGTTTTCATGTTCTTTTATAATATTTTTTTTAAGTCGTACTGTTTACATTTAAATTTAACCTATTTTATCCGCTGTTTGTAAAATTGCTGTGACATGTCATCATAGTGTGTGTTATAAGAGATTTCTGTACATGCCTGTAACTGGCTTACATACCAGTACTTAATTTTGTACATGTTAATTTTAAGCTTGAATGTTTTGTGTGTATTGCTGTTGGTGTGTCTAAATAAATAAATAAATAATTTGCCCGGTGGATCGACGGTCTGAAGTTTGTTGTACGGATACTATGTAAATACAGGTTTATCTAAATTTCCAGAGTTGATGCCCACAGCCGCCGTGTTCTAACTAACTATACTTGAGACCTTCGAACTTATATCTCAAGGTGGGTGGCGCATTTACGTTGTAGATTTCTATGGGCTCCAGTAACCACTTAACATCAGGTGAGCTGTGAGCTCGTCCACCCATATAAGCAATTAAAAAAAACACCCACAGTTCGTTACCAGTTCGAAATCAATATTGTCATATACACGTATTTGTAATCAACTTACTCTTCTTTGAGCATATTTCCATCACCACACGGGTTCTGAAAAAACAAAAGCTTTTTATTATTATCAGCGTCTCCTCGAGCAATCATCTACCATCAGATCAGATGGGTCTGCGGAGGGACTTCGGTTCCCTCTGTATTTTGTACCTTATGTTCCATGGAGAGTGCTCTGAGGAATTTTTCGAGAT